GATACCACTTTTCAACTGTCGGTAGTTAGCATCATTGAGAAGGAAAAACAGATACTGCAGATTCAACCTGAATCTACTATGTTTCGACATCAATCGTGTTCTAATAAATAAATATTCCGGCAATGCAAAGTTTCTATCTTCTCGTTGTCCATTGACACCATCAGGATATAAATCAGGGAAACACATGACATCCAGATATTTATAACGATTATCCATTGGAAAATCTTCAATTTTCATCATTTGATAAAGCTTCAATGCAGATTCGTTATCGATTCTTTTCGCGTGTATTGGGTATATTGTATACTGATCGTTAATATCCGAATCTTCAGTGATTTGTGTGAGGAAAGCCCTACGTTTTAAAACGATTTGATCATTATTATTTTTGTTTTCCTGTACATTGTACAAATTCAATGCTGGTAATTTCTCAACCACCTCATTTATTTCGTCATTGTCGCTTTCGTCATCGACAATCCGATATTCTGTTTCCTGCAACTTATCATTTAATAGATCATCAGATGACGCCGGAAGACGAATTTTCGAGTAATGAGGATTATTTTCTTTCAACCATTGTAAAGCCTTATACACTTTATTAATATCTACCAAATTTTCCCAAACCACTTTAGATTTCTTGGGTATACCTCGAACGAGAATGTGCAACTCGTGATTCAAATTTATAGGATCTTCCGGAGGACATACCTTATCCAATGTTTCTTGTAAAGGTAGAGGCAAATGAAATGTTCTGCCTTTTACTTTGCGGATCATTTGTCTATGCGGTATATGTTTGTTCGAAACATTGCCCATCAATTGCACTACTTGAAAGCTGCTAATTCTCTTGATTAACATTTTTTCGTAATCATTGAAATCTGACAAAACATCTGGTAATGGTTTTACCGCAAGATTATTCAAAATGCAAGTAGAAGGCAACACGCCTTTTTGAAATTTACCCAAACAAAGCTTACAAACGAATTCAGTATTATTACTGTGTTCTGTTACGTTTGCTATCAGATCTTTCCAAAAAGGTCCGTCTATTGTTTTCCTCAGCTTCTCGAGCTTAGAAACGTCTCTTCTCAAGCATAATTTTTCGCAAGAGATGCAAGGGATACGTGGTAAATCCAACAATCGCTTTTTCATGACTTTAAATGCTTCGTAATTTTGCGAGAAAATCTTTTCCTCGTCCAAACAAACATCAGTTACATTTTTTGGATAAAATCTTGCTTTATTCTTAAAATCATTGGAAATTTCAACTAATTTATCCATATTGATGAATCTCAAAGATGAAAACAGTTGACAAAACTTATTATAATTGTCGATCAATTTGTAAACATTTCTTCGAATATTCCTCACGAAAGGAAAATGAGGTGATAAAGTGTTTATCGTTGCAATGTATGACTTGCAAAGATTCGGATTTGTATAGCATTCCGGAGGATGTCCTAATCTGCTACTCGTACGTGAAACGGAACAATTTTTTAGCTGCGCCATGAATTTAACATTCATTATTTTTTCAAAGTACCTTCTTCAAACAGTTCCAAAATTTTACAAACTTTTCCATGGAAGTATCATTTATGTGGCATTTGTTCTCATCACAATGCCACATTTTTAACTTTTTACCATTGTTATCTATTAACGGCAAAACATTTATTACTCCGTGAGGAGAGGATTGTCTCATTATAAGTGGTTGCTCAAACTTTTTCCTTTGCTCGTAAGCAGTTTCATAAAAGTACGCTTCGGAAGACGAAGTATGTTTGGATAAGCCACAACGAGCAATTATTTTTCATTGTACGGGCTAGTATGAATTTCAAATCAAATCTCTATAAACGACTATTATATTTTGTGCACTAAGAATAACATATCGCACTTATTTTCTAGAATCAAATTGTAATCAGTTTTACTTATATGTATGTATGTTCAATGTGAACTTGCACCTTGAATAAAATATCAGTTACTTTTCATGGAAATATATTATTACTAAATTTAGATAATATACACTTTACGTATGTTCACTTTGAACTGGCACCTTGAATAACATATCAGTTACTTTTCGTGATAATTTATTATTAGATCGTTTAAATTTTGAAAGGTTTAAATTTTTGAGGACCTTCTTTTGAACATGGCTTGACCTTTTCATTTTTATGATTTTTTGGAGATAGGGTGAGAGAGGACGAATGAGGGTAAGAGAAGACGAGATAGGCGAAAAAGAGTGAAAGAGAACGAAAGAGGGTGAGAAAGGACGTACGAGGGTGAAAGAGGTGAGAGAGAGTGAGAGAGAACGAAAGAGGGTGAGATAGGACGAAAGAGGGTGAAAGAAGGCGAAAGAGAGTGAGAGGGAATGAAAAAGGGTGAGACAGAATGAAAGAGGGTGAGAGAGGACAAAAGAGAGTGAAAGAGGACGAAATTGGGTGAAAGAGGGCAAAGAGGATGAAAGAGGACAAAAGAGGGTGAAAGAGGACGAAAGAGGGTAAAAGAGGGTGAGAGAGAATGAAAGAGAGTGAGAGAGGACAAAGGAGAGTGAAAGAAGACGAAAGAGGGTGAAAGAGGTTGAAAGAAGGTGAGAGAGAATGAAAGAGATGAGAGAGGACAAAGGAGAGTGAAAGAGGACGAAAGAGGGTGAGAAAGGCAAAAGAGGGTGAAAGAAACGAAACAGGGTGAAAGAGGGTGAGAGGGAGGGAAAAAGAGAGTGAGAGAGAATGAAAGAGGGTGAAAGAGGACGAAAGAGGGTGAAAAGAGACGAAAAGGGGTGAAGAGGGTGAGAGAGACGAAAGAGGGTGAGGTAAGACGAAAGAGGGTGTGAAAGAGGACGAAAGAGGGTGAGAGGACGAAAGAGGGTGAAGAGGGCGAAAGAGGGTGAAAGAGAACGAAAGAGAGTGAAAGAGGACGAAAGGGGGTGAGAGGGAATGAAAGAGGGTGAGAGGAATAAAAGAAGGTGAGAGAGGACGAAAGAGGGTGTGAAAAAGGCGAAAGATGGTTGAAAAAGGACGAAAGAGGGTGAAAGAGGACGAAAGAGGACAAAAGAGGCGAAAGATGGTGAAAGAGGACGAAAGAGGGTGAAAGAGGACGAAAGAAAGTAAAAGAGGTGAAAGGGGACAACAGAGGGTGAGAGAGAACGAAAAACTGAAAAAAATAGGACAAAAGAGGGTGGGAGTGGGGGTGGGGGGTGGGGCGGGGGACGGGATGTGGGAGGGAAAGGGGTGGGTGGAAGTTGAGGGAGGTGTGAGTGAAAGGTGAGAAGAGATTTATATATATATTATATATATATTAATCCTGATGACGTCAGCGGACGCGGACAGAGAAGAAGAAGAAGAAGAAGAAGAAGAAGAAGAAGACGACGTTACTTCATTTTTCATGAAAAACGTCACTTTTTGACCGCTTGTATCTCCAGAACGGCTTGACCAATTGTATTCCTTCTTGGCTCAAATTACTCGTGGCAATGCCGCCTTTCAGGTATATTACGTGCAATTCAAAATTTTTTATATTTTAGTAGTTCTACACCCCCAAAAAATGGACTTTGATGGTGCAGGATAAGGAGACTTGTAGTGTCTTTAAGGTCTTTTAGGGTTTGAACATGGCCGGAGACACTACCGCGTCTCCTAATAGGGACAATTGATTTTGTGCACTTTCGGTAATCCATAAGCTCTAGGAAGATTACCATTACTACACGATAAATACTTGTAAGTATTAAATGATATAAAACCTTTATTTTTCCATCTTTCTAAAAGATCACGGAGATTGGAAACTATACTATTAGTAGTTTAAGGTATTATGCGCGCGTACTTGTTCGGTAATTAATGCTTTGCCAATATCGCGAATCGGGAGAGGATATTTTAGACGGAATAATAATTTGGTGTTGTACAGTATATTGTATTTTACTGCATTTATTTGAGTCACACAAAGAATATAAACTCTTTACTCTCCACCGAGGAAAACCGTGTATCGCGAACGCGAGTCAAATTCTATCTGCCCTTCGAGGCCGCGCATTGTCTTGCTTCTCTCGATTTTTCCACGATCTTATTTTTATTTTTAGGTGATTAGATTATATATTATTCTCCGGTACTTTCGCTTTTTATTCTGTACGGAAATCGACATTTACTTTTGTTATGTTAGATGCTTATTGTTTATTTATTATTTTGTGTCACCGGTCGCGATATCCTTAACACTCGTCGCTTGTAATATATTTTTATTTCGTATATATTTTTATTTTAATATGCTTGTGGCATTTATCGCCACAGTAGGGTCTTTTTTTATCAAAATGTAAGTGTCTCTGTCTTTAAAAAAAACAGAATTTTATTAATATCATCTGACAACTGCATTATGTTTAATAGCTCTTATAGCCCTTCTTTGTTTACAATCATTAAGTTTAACAGAGCTAATTACTATTTTTATTTGATAAAATTAAGTAATAATTTAGTAATATATTTTTATTTCGTATATATTTTTATTTAATATGCTTGTGGCATTTATTGCCACAGTACCCCCCTTCTAGTGGTTTTCTAATTTTCGACTTCGTGTTATTGCACAATTATTTTATTACCGCCTATACGTCAATTCGAGTCGTCATTAGTCACCGCGTCAATGTATAATCTCACGTGGAGAGATAAAAAAAATAAATAAATAAAAATTAATAATAATATAAATTAAAAATTTTGTCCGACACGCCGCGTTACATCGTATATTGATCCGAGAATCGGACCCTTCGACCGCTCCTTGTTCGTGTCTCTCGTCCTTCACTCGCTGGCTGCGCCTCATTTAGCTGCTCCGGGTCCAGTCTCGTCTCTCTGTTTCCAGGAGTCCTTGCCGTCGGCGACGCTTCGTCATTCTGTTTCTCTGTAATCAAATATGCTGGTTTTAAACGATCGATGGATATCGTTTGCTCTTTCTCGTGCATACGCACGACAAAGGTTTTCTTTCCTCGTCGAACCACCGTGTAGGGCCCATCGTACGGCATTTGCAATTGTGTTTTCGGCCCGTCGTGCCGAACAAACACACTCTCCGTGGTTCCCAGCTGCTTAAATACAAACGGGCGTCGTTCTCTGTACTGCGTGATTTCGACTGGCCGGACCTCCTCGAACGTCGCAACTCTTCACAAAATTGCTGGCGTCTCTCTCCTCACCGGACTGCTTATTTAAGAATTGTCCTGGCAGTCTGAGCGCTTTTCCATACACCAGCTCGGCCGTCGTCGCCTGTAGATCGTCCTTCCACGCCGCTCTTATGCCCATCAGAACTGTCGGCAGCACATCCGTCCACCGGTCCTTCTGATGGCACTTGATCGATGCTTTTAATTGGCGGTGCCATCGTTCTACCATGCCGTTGGCCTGGGGGTGATAGGCAGTCGTCCTCAGGTGGTTAGATCCTAACAATCCGCTCAACTCCTTGAAGAGGTGCGCCTCGAATTGCCGTCCCTGGTTGGTTGTTATTCTCAACGGCACGCCGAATCTGCTTATCCAGCCGTGGTAGAACGTCCTTGCGACTGTTTCTGCCTCCTGGTTCTCCATGGAAAACGCCTCCGGCCAACGCGTGAATCGGTCGATGCAGGTCAAACAATATTTGTTTCCGTCCAATATCGGCATATTAATAATATCCACGTGCACATGCTCAAACCTTTGACTCGGTAACTCAAAAATGCCTCTTGGTGATTTTACGTGGCGTGTAATCTTTGCTCGTACCTGAGGACGACTGGCACTCGATGCATGCGCGTGCCCATACTGCAGTCTTTTTTAATTGACGGCCAGACGTAACGCTGTGTCACTATCTTCACCGTCGCTCGTATCCCCGGATGTGCCAGTCCGTGTAGCATATTAAATGCGGCCCTCCGAAAAGGCCTTGTCAAAAATGATCTCGGAATCTTCGTCGTCGTATCGCACCATATCGTAGTGCCTGCGCCTGGAATTTTTATTTTTTTAATTTGAGTCCGCTCGTGCCCTCGATGTATTCGCTGCACTCCGCATCGTCCTCCTGCGATCTCGCGAGTGCCTCGTAATCCAGCGGTGTTTTTACTTCCTCGATGCGCGATAGCGTGTCCGCCACTACGTTCTCTTCTCCTCTCACGTGTCGTACGTCCGTCGTGAATTGCCTGACAAAATCTAGATGCCGAAATTGTCGCGGCGTGCATTTTTCAGGCTTTCTTTGAAATGCATACGTAAGAGGTTTGTATATATTGCGAAAGTCCGTGCCTCGATCATGTGGCGGAAGTATTTGATTGCCAAATAAATCGCCAAAAGCTCCCGATCGAATGTGCTGTATTTAGATTCCGTCGGGCTTAATTTTTTCGAGAAGAAACCCAGTGGTTCCCACTCTTCTTCCGCTTGCTGCTGCAGCATGGCTCCCACGCTGCTGTCTGACGCGTCGGTGAATAGAGCGAGCTCCGCGTTCACCTTCGAGTGCGATATCAGAGTAGCTTGCATCAAGCTACTTTTTGCGTCCTTGAACGCCTGTCTCGCTGCCGGCGTCCACTTCACGAGCGCCTTCCCTCTGATATCGCCATGAAGCAACTCGTTTAATGGCTCCTGAATTTCCGCGGCTCTTGGCAGATATTTTCTGTAGAAATTGATCATGCCAAGATACCGCCTCAGCTCCTTCGCTGTCTTCGGCTCCTCGAACTCCTCGATCGCCCGTACGCGCGCCGGCAATGGTCGCGTGCCGTGTCTGCTCACTTCGTATCCGAGGAATTCCACTTCCGCCTGTCCGAACACGCACTTTCCCGAATTAATTACGACGCCATACTTTTGTAATCGCTCGAACAATGTTTGTAGGTGTTGGCTATGTTCTTCGACCGTCGTTGACGCGATCAGAATGTCGTCAATATATGCGTAACAAAAGTCGAGTCCGCGCAAGACCTCGTCGATAAACCGTTGGAAAGTCTGCGCCGCGTTTCTCAATCCGAACGACATAAACGGGAACTCGAACATGCCGAACGGCGTAGTGATCGCGGTCTTTGGAATATCGTTCTCCGCCACCGGTATCTGGTGGTACGCGCGCACTAGGTCGATCGTCGAGAACACCCGTTTGTCTTTCAGTTCCATCGCGAAATCCTGAATGTGCCGGACCGGATACCAATCCGGGATCGTCCGCGCATTCAACGAGCAATAGTCACCGCACGGTCGCCTCTCTTCACCTCTTTTCGGCACCATATGTAATGGAGACGCCCAACTACTTTTCGACGGTCTCACGATACCGAGCTCCATCATTTTTTCGAACTCTTTTCGCGCTGCGGTCAATTTATCCGGCGCAAGTCTCCGCACACTACCGGCGGCCCCGGGTCGTCTCAATAAAATGTTTTGTGTTATGTCGCACCTCTTTCGGGCGCCCGTCAGGTCGTACGATGTCCGGATAACACGCTAAGAGTTTGTGATATTGCGTCACTCCCGTCACCGTTCGTATGGTCGGCATTCCGCACTGTGCGCTACGTCCCCCGGCTACGAGTCCCGTCGCCTAATCGACTAGCCGACGATTCCGCAAGTCCACCAGGAATCCGTAATATGACAGAAAGTCCGCGCCGATAATCGGTCTCGACACATCTGCGAGTACAAATTGCCACGTAAAGTTCCGTCGTAATCCGAGATTTAACGTTAAAGTCTCGGTTCCGTAGGTATGGATCACCGTTCCATTCGCTGCGGATAACTCGTACGTCGATTTCTGTCGCGGCCCACGCACCATCCTGCGAGGAAAAACGCATAGGTCTGCGCCCATATCCACGAGGAAGTTAATTCGCGTGTCGCGGTTAGTTACAAATAGACTGCGCGAATCCTGGCCTTAATCACCGGCCGTCATCAGTGACGGGCCGTCGCGTTTCCCTGCGGCTGTCCGGCACACGAGGGCTCACATCTTCGTGCGTCTGGTCCGAATCTCCAATGAAAATAACAGAGATTGTTCGACGCGTGACCACGGACGCGAGAGCGCGATCGCGAACGCTCTTGCCTGCGACGATCACCGCCGTCGCTCCGGCGAGGTTCTCGCTCACCCAATGCCTCGATGCATTTCCGCAAGCCAGTCATTTGTTCCGCGAACTCTCGCTACATGGCCATCCGCATCTACGTCATCTGCACGTTGATTCTGGCCTCTAATGCAGCTATTCCGTTTGCTTCGGCACCCGCGAATGCCGTCGGCCGAGCCGCTTCCGCGACGTGCACCGCAGTAGGGATACTAGGGGGGTTCTAACTCAAGGGCAATGAGGGGGGATGCGGGGCGGGGGGGAATCGGGGGCAAGGGGGGTGACGTCACGCGGGGGGAGGGGGTCTTATCAGTGGATAAGCTTATCTTTTGTTTATAAACATATCAGATAACCTGATAAGGGGATCATGTTACCTGATAAGGGGATCATGTTACCTGATATGTTTATAAACAAGATAAGATAAGGGGATCATGTTACCTGATATGTTCATATAACAAGATAAGATAAGATAAGCGGCGTCTTTGTAAGGTATCAAAGATAAGATAAGCGGCGTCTTTGTAAGGTATCAAAGTTTTCATAAATTTTCTCCAAAAATCCAAGATAAGATAAAAATTCTGCGAATGGCTGCCGCATTTTGGATCCCGAGCGCCGACATTCAGATATCTATTACTAAGGGGGTTGCGTTTCTTCATCTAAATTTGATAAGATAAAAATTCTACGAATGGCTGCCGCAAATCCAAGCTGAGCGCCGACAATTGGATATCTAAATTTCTCCGAAGATAAGATAAGATAATTCTGCGAATTATTAAGAACAAAAGGTTTGCCGACAATCAAGCGAGTTGATCCGTACAGGTTGCGACATGTCAATCCGATCCGGCGTGTCTTGCCGACGGGGTGAAATGAAAGGTAACGGGCGGCCTTATCTATGTATTTCTAAGAATTATCAGCGATATCTAAATTTTCTCCGAAAATCCAAGATAAGATATCACACAAATATTTCTCGCGAATTAACAATTGCATCATCATCCCCACGAACAAAGGGATGATCGGGATATATAATGAGGACCGATGCAGCTGCCGGACCATAGTACCACTGGCGAGCGCACGCTCTCTTCATTCAGAATGTTTGTAATACTATCAAGTGCTTCCAACATTCTCAGTTTAAGTGCCGAACAGTTACAATATATTCCGAAGATTGTTTTACTGCAAAAGTGCGGCTATTTCGTAGAGCATTTGTGGGACAAGCTTCCGGAGCATATCAAGACGGATCCGGAGGTTCAGACATATCGTCGCTGCCTCGAACACTACAATCGGCCGTGGATGCGAACGCATATTGTCGGTCCAGCACCGATGATCAGGGATTGCAGCGAATGTCAGCGAAAATAGGCTGAGGTTAAAAGTGCGAATAAGTGATAGACATCGAAAAAATGGAGAGCGCACCGCAAAATCATGCAGAGTGTCATGAGAAGGGGTGTTATAAGACTGCCGAGAGATGGTATAGACATCTCGAGGTATGCTGTCACAATGAAAAAAAAGATAACCCGTTTTGTAATAAACGTGAAGCGGCGACTTCAATTGTACAATATGTACGAAATCGCAAACTTGGTGTGCGAAAACCGCATACAAGACGTGTAGCCCAGTTCCTGGAAACGCATGAAGACATTGTAAGAGTGGCTGGTGATTTATCTAAATGCACCAGAACGTCTAAGCGACACAAGCGAGTCGCATGTTATCAACGTCGATACAAAAATTGTGTCGATTATTTCACTGTGGACAACTATGATTTTGGCTACATGGACATGCCTTCACCATCGGTGTCATGCAAAACACAATCATCCGAAAATGATTCTGACCAAGAAATGGAGGAGGAGTCAGATAGGAGAGAACCGTCATCATCATCATCATCATCATCATCGCCAGATTTCTTGTCGGCAGCCTATTTATCTTTTCTGTGATAAAATAGGTGTACAACATATGTGATATCAACGTGTTCTGAGAGAGAGAGTAGATATGTCTTCGCGGAAGGTGTAAACATGTCGATAGACAACTACTGAGCAGCCGCTATTTTTGTTTCGTCGGAGATCATCTTTCGGAGATAATTGCATCATTGCATGAACAAAGGGATGACCGGGATATATAATGAGGACCGATGTCACTGCCGGGTCATAGTACGGTGACATTTCAGCGCAATAAGTGACTCGAGAATAAATTGTTTTTGTGATAAAAAATGGAGAAAGACAAAGAAAGTAGTGATCTCCGACGATGAAGAGATGAAGGTGGTGGTTGTCCCGGATGACGAGATGGAGGTTATAATCATCTCCGACGACGACAGCGACAGTGATGGTGCGATGTACGACCCTGTGTACGACAGGGATGTGAACATCCTATTGGATGACATTGAGGAATGGAAAAAAGACGTGATATCGTACCCATGATGACGATGACGATGACGTGACGATGACGATGGAAGATGAAGGATGAAGATTAAGATGAAGATGACAATGACGATG